AAAATAAATATTAATTATATAAAATATATTTTATATATTTTTAAAATATTAAAAATAAATATTATATTATTTAATAATTAATTTTTTTATTTTTTTAAATATATAATATTATATATATTAACTAATTTAATAACATGACATAAATCTTAATATTTGTTCTAAATTTTCGTGCGCCCTATTATTACCTATACATATAGTTATACATACTCCGATATATGTCCAATATAATATATATATATATAGTTATATATACTCCCATATATGTCCAAAAAAGAAGACTGTTGCAACGTGAAGAAGGACAAGATCATCAATCCCAGACGTACAAGGCATGGCCCCTCATCACCGACATGCTGGTGTCGTATCCTGCTTTGCATTATCTTCTTCGTTACATACCATATATTATATATATATACCGTCTGTGCCGCTTTTCTTTGGAAAAAAAAATTATTATTGTAATTTCGTGTTGTGAAAAATAATGAAATGAAGGGAGGGTATAGTTGTAATTTAGATCATGCATGCAAGGTAAGCATAGCTTTCCATGATACATGCAAGGTTATCATCATGGAGAACAGAACTGTTGCATATTCTCTTCTTTTCTTTTTTTTTTTTGCCCTCACCTTACGCAATGCATTACAAAGATAATTTTGCCTTTTCTATCAAATATATAGTACTTTAAATTTATATGTATATAATACCTCTTTTAAACAAAGATGCATGGTATCGAAAATCTAAAATAAAGAAATAAAATAACTATCCAAACTAAAAACTATTCTAACCAGCAAAAGCTAGTCTTTGAAACTACAGGACATACAAAGTGTCAAAATTTATACAAAATATTGCAATAAAAATATCACAAATCTATGAAATCCTGTATGATGCATAGAAATAAATGCCCTTATTTCTTTCACTATTTTATCTCCAAAAATTTCTTTCGAAAACAGAGATTGAGGGCAGTTTTATCACTAGAAAAAAGGGCATTTTCACTTATTATTTTTCTCCTTTTTTTTTTTTGTATTTATTTTTTCTTCAACAATCACCCCATGCTTCCGAGGCAGGTTCAGGAAATCCAAAACCCTGGGGTTTTAACAGCGACTGCTGGACTCCACCGGCGTACGTTAGCATGTTCCTCATGTTCATGCTTCCATTCCCGTTAACACCTTCAGTTCCAGTCAAACCCAGAAAGTCCCTCGTCAGACGGTCGCTCTTCTGCCACATGGGGAGGTTCCCTCCAGCGAAACCCATGAACTCTGGCGGAACAAGGTGAGAATTCCCAGATTCAACCACCTGCGGGGCTGTGGCGATGTTGAGCTGATGAGTCGCAGTTGCACCCACGGTGGCAGCCTTCTGGAGGAGTGCGGTGGCTGACAGGTAGGGAGTGGACGTGGCAGGCAGGTTTTGGAAGGGTGGGGTTATCACCTTTTGTTGTGGTGGCGGGGGCGGTAGTGCTTCTTGGAAGAATGATGAGAAATGGACAGCCTCAGGCTTGACGTGATAAAGAGGGTTCTGAGGGATGTTAGGGTTAGGGTTTTGGGTTTGGTCCCAGGAGGAGAGAGAGATTGGGTTTGGGTTTGCGAAGGGGAAGAAAGAAGAGAAGGTGGTGGAGCTGGTTTGCGGTGGTAGATGGTGGAGAGGATGCACCACCGCGTTTGTGGTGGCAGTTGCTAGTTGGTTGGCGGAGAGTCTAGCACTTTCCTCAGCCAGTGCATCACAGAATGCCCTGTGGGTTACGAAGCTGTCCTTCCTGTGGCAGTGCATTTCATAAGAGAAACTTAAACATTTAACGAGAAGAAGAGAAACATTTAATCCTTCATTCAAAAAGAACAACAGAAATGATCAACTTGAAAGAATTGGATTTTAGATAATGTTATAATAGTTTGAAATCAACATGAGCTTATAATTGTACCAAAAAAAAAAAACATAAGCTTATAATTAGACGAAACGGTATTAAGCTTTAAAATCTTAATTTGTTGTAAAAATTGGAGGTTCAAACCTATGCAACAAATTTTTTCTTTTTTTTTTTTTTTTGGTAACAATGTCTCTACACCAGCTAAGCCTTAATTTTTTAGCCAACAAAGTTAGAAATATAGGTTATATCAATGCCAAATATAGTTAGGATATTAAGTTAAGTGGGACTTCCAAGCTAGAGGAATTTAGTATTTATCTTGGCCTAATTAATTAGTACGAATGCAATGTTGCAAACTCAACACAAGTAATGGTTGCTAATTTCTCTTCATGTGTTAACAAAAAGGAAAGATATATATGCCTTTTTTATACCCTCTAAAAAATAGGAAATAAGTTTCTACAAAAAAAAAAATTGTAGGAAACAAGTTTTTTTTCTTAAATTAAATAGGCTGCAAACATTACAATTTGGATTGGAAAAGCATTTTTGCCATTGATTAGGGCTCTTTTCTCTCTCATTAACTAATGGCAAAACTGGTTTTATTTTCATTTCAATTTTGCTTTTTCTTTTTTACTTTGTCCAAACTGAAAATACTTTTTCTCTAAAAAATATCATAAGATTAAAAAAAGAAAAATTAAAGAGAAAAATGCCGTTCAAAAAAAATTAAAAAGAGAAAAATGCCCTTAAGTTTGGATGTTTGAATATGAGAAATAGAAGGAGGGACCAAACTTGGTTCTGAGCAGCAACATTATACAAAGAAAGCAATTATTGAGAATACAAAAATCGTTGTCTCTAGTTTAGAAAAAGAGCGGCCATAATGGTAAGACTAGGATCATGCATGCGCCTTGGTTAGAGTTAATGTCATAAAGTTAATTTACATATTTATGAAATTCATGCTTCCAAGAAAGGGAAAGAAAGAGCTGTCTGTCTTTGTGGTCAAATATAAAGCCGATCTAGAGAGAGAAATTAAGAAAGAGAAAATGCATGACAATTGATTGATGTGTATGCATGCAAAAATGGGCATCAATATATGGGGCTAAAAATTTCAAGACAATGCTAAATCACAAAGGAAAAAATGTACTCTTTAGAAATTACAGCTCCTGCACACATGTTTAACGCGAAGATGTAAACAATAGTGGGACAGTGTAATCTATAAGAAAAGGAAAACAGGGATATAACATGAATAACATGAGTTGCTACTGGCTGGTCCAAATTAATAATGAAAATGTCAGTCAAAACAATCACAGCGAGAATCTTTTAACTCATCCTAAGACTTTGGTTGTTTGAATGAGCATATATCAAACATTTGGAGATTTATATGTTACCCATCATTATGATGTTCTGATACATTGTTCATTTAAAAAATTAGAAGAGATTTCTCAGCCATGAAAACCCAAAAGAAATTCAACTTCCTTTATAACTTTTTTCATTGATCTAGGCCATTGTTTCATCATTGTACAAGATCAAAACACTAGAAAAAGAATAGAAAAAAAAAAGAATGGAGGGGTATTCCTCATAGGTGCTTGATAACAAAAACTGGAGGTCATTAATTTTGTGAAACCCATGGTTACAATGGTCATTATATTATATGAATGATAATGTATATGAATTGAATACTCCTTATAATCTGATAATAAAAAAATTTCTTTTTTAAAAAAAAAAAAATAAAAATAAGAAAATAAGAAAACAAAGCTCTTTCATGAATTGAAAATGGTGATATACATTTCAGGGGATAAGAGTGAAAAATGAGAGAGAGGAGTATTATTAAGCATAGATAATACACGGTACAAAAAACAAGACGTTTTTTTTTTTTCAGACAAAAGCATGGGAGGGTCCAGATTTCATAGGGGAATTGGTTTCTGTTTCGCTTGCAAAAGTCATCAGCAACAGTCACTTGAATTAATGTGACTGCCTTTAATTTGCAAATATATATTCCATGGACATAGCTTACTATTCTTATGTAAGAACAACTAGAAAACAAAACCCATATAGCAAAATCCAATTATTCCCATTTTTGAATTAAAAGTTTCTCAATTCCTGCTTGTTGGGTGTTTGTTTGAAGAGAAAATGAAAGAAAAGGTAAAAAAGAATTTAGTACCTGGAGAAGATGGTTCCACAATCACATCTATATTCTCTTGTTCCACAGGTCTTAGAGTGAGCTTTCCAATCAGATTGAACAGCATAGATCTTTGAGCACTTCTCACACTTCCACTTCTTTTCTCCATGTTTTCTGCAGTAATGTTTCTTGATTCCTGTTAAATCACCCAAAGCCCTTGAAGGATGGTGGTGAACACATGTGGGTTCAGGGCAAACATAGGCTTTCTTCTTCACCTCTTTGCTGTTTCTTTGCTTCAGCTTCCAAGGAAGGTTATGGCCTCTTCTGTGAAGCTGAAGATTCTGGTCTCTCTGAAAACCCTTGTTACAGATCTCACACACAAATCTGTTTGTAGCCAATAGAGTCTTTGGAGATAAAGCAATCACTTCAGCATCTGGGTCTGTAAAAACAACCCCAAAACCAATAAAGATTGAAACTTTCAAATAAAATTAACCTGATTGGAATTGAAATTGAAGAGAAACTTACCGGGGTTTCCAGGGAGGTTTCTTTTCTTCTTGATTTTCTGGGGTTGTTGAAGGGAAATGGTGGAAACAGCAGGATTTAAGCCCCCAAAGTCTTGAGCTCTAGTACCAGAAGAAACACTGGCTTCCTCAGACAAAGAATTGGAATTAGACATGGTAGCAGGAAACATGGCTGTTAACAAGAAAACTCCAACAAAGAAAAACAAAGAAAACCTAAAAAAAGAACCCACAAACTCTCCCTCAGATCTCTGTGTTTTTGTTTGGTATTTAAAGTACCAAGTTTGCACCTTTGAAGAAACAACAAGAAGGGGAGGCAAGAAATGGATAATCCAAAGCTTTAGACACAACTAAACACAGCTTTGTTGAACAACAGGTGGCAGTGGCATGTATAAGTTACAGAAAGGCATCATTCATTGGGTGGCAAAAGCAAAATCTCGTGAAGGGATTGTGATGGGTTATTCTTCAAAGTCACTATCTAAGGGCCATGAATTGCTTTGCTCTGAGCAACTCTGCAACAAAATTCAGATATTATATTTCACTTCCTACAAATCTCTCTTAAAATCCCATATCCGAAGGTCCAAACCTCCCCCATGCAATCAATACATAACCAAAAGTATGGTTGTTACCCTCTTCCCCTAATCTCTTGACTACCCAATAACCCTATCTTCTCTATCCATTTTGTGTATATATAAAGATACAGAGAGAGAAACAGAGGAAATACAGAGTTTTTACAGTATCCTGATCTTGAGTATGGTACAGAAGCTGATGATTGCTATGGCAGACTAAGGAGAGAAGATATATTAGAAAAATCAGAAGAAAAGGAAAAGAGGTAAATTGAAAATTCAACAAAGGGGGGAGAAGGAAAGGAGTAGGAAGAATCGTCGAGGCAGCCCAGTTGATTCGGATTTTTATTTTTATTTTTCCTTTGATGGAAATTGATTCATATTTTTTTTGGTTCTGAATTACCATGACGTTGGCACTTTCTGTCTTTTCCTTTGTGCCTGTTACAAAACACCCAAACCCTAAAAGGGGATTGAGTTGAATTGAATGGTAGTATTAAAAGTAGCCATTGCTTACCTTACCGCAAGGCTTAGAAAAGAATAAGAAGCTTAAAAAACCCTGTAAGTGGTAAAAGGTAAGCTTCATAGTGATAGACCTTCTCCTACCTTTTCTAATACCCCACAACTAACATGATTGATGTCTTGATAGCTCTCTCACCTTGTAAACCCATACATTACTAGAACCTTGATTGTCTTTCCGCTCTTCACTTTTCGTACTCCTAACACCTTTACATTTACAATTAATTAATTGCCAAACTAACATTTTCCTATATCCCTTTTATAATTTTGAGCGGGGTGTATTTGCTAATTTTTAAAATTTGGATTTTAGAGTTAAGGTTACAATTTAAAGTTTTAAGTTTTGCAAATGTAAAACTATTGGAAATGCCTGATAAAATGACAATCACAAATAATAATTGTATTTCATGGGTTGATTGAAGGTTTTTGAGAAGAATGTAAAGTTTAGATCTTTCTTTATACGAGTTAACTACAAAATCAAGTTCTCTTTGCTTCTTCAGTAGTTATATAGGGATTGTAGAATCTTAATGAATATCTTGTTTTTCCATTGTGAAGTTGAGGATTTTTCCATACCCTTTCTGTCTCTCTTTCTTTTATAATTATATTCGCTCACATAGTGAAAGTGCATGTTCAAGCAAACCCCACCAAGGGAATTTTGGAAGGTCTTCTTTTCTCCTCTCTATACCTTTATTTATTCCAAACCCAAAGGCAAAGCATGAAGAAATATCTTGAGTTGGCCATTATATCCCCATCACTTGTCCAAATTAAGAGGAAATGCACATATAATTATTTCCCAACATCAATGGCTTGGATGGTAATTGTGCTCTAAAACAAGAGGGATTCCCTTTATTTAGAGGGTTTGCATGAATATGGGACAACAGTTCAGGAACTCCTACTGACTTTTGGAACAACAGGCGGTGGCCCGACAATTAAAGTTTCCCTAGACGTGAGCAGAAATAAAATATTATAATTTTGAAGTATAGACATACCGATGGAATAAGTAAAACAATAAAAAAAAATAGTTTTTTATTATGTAATTTAAAATAAAAAAATTAAAGAAAGTCTCCTTTTATGCATAATATGTACCCATTTACATTTTTCAGACTATTTAGAAAATAAATGATCATCTTCTCTAACACATTATTCTTGCCTATACAATAGTACTTTGGAATCCTATGTCATGGGTCTTTTGATCTAAATCCTTTGAATCATTTTTGAGCTTTTTAGTGAGATTCATATGCTCCTTTTCTTTTGGGATAAGATTAGATTTTATGCTTCATTGGTTCAAACCTTAAGTTCGTTGATTCAAACCTTATTGGCCATAAAGTCTTTGTGTCGTCGGTCGAACGTATCATATATGGCTCAAAACTAACAAACCCAATTAATTATCATAAATATGTGGCACATGCCATACGGAATTATGACTCCTGAATATTTTGTTAAAAGTATAAAAAAATTATTTATTTTAACTAATATTTTATTTATATAATTTTTTTAAACAGTTAATTATATTTAAAAATATCAATTTATAAATTAATTTTAATTTGTTAAATAATAAATATTGATTATTTTATTAACTATTAATTATTTTTACCAATAAAATTGAACATAATTGTGTAACTTTAACAAAACAAAGTAACTATAATCAACCCTCGCCATAGCTCTTCTTTTCCTTTTATTGCAGCGGTTAGGTATTATTTTGGGGTCAAGTGACACAGTATCGGCTAATTGAATTCACCTCCTAACTTTCATCAAAACGATGGTTTTTTTTTTTTTTTCTTTTAACATATGGGATATTCAAATTTTAGTCTTACTATAATAATATGAGTGTCCAAACCACTCTAGCTCCCTATAAATAAATACCACATAAATCTTCCTTGTGTGGCAACGTAATCTATTGAAGTTGTTAATACTTGAACGGCAATAAAGAGATTCAAACCTTGTATTTCATCACCATTTTTCTCATTCCTTACCATTCGAACCAACTCAGACTAATTTAATCAAAACTGAAGATACGCACCCTGAAGCATTGATCATCTATGTTAGGAGCAAAACTAATGGTTCTGCAAGGAACCTCAGAGCCTCTTCTCGAGGGCAAATAGTTACTTTGGGATCTCCCTATAAAAACACCTTACGTATTGCAACATTCAAAGACACAGAAAATTGTTTCATGATGATGACCAACATCAGACACAAATTTTTTGCCTTTTGCACGTATAATCTTCCCATCATCTCACTTTATATTTAAAATTCTGGGATTATTTTATTTTATTTTATTTTTGCTTATCCTTGCTGCGCAATGTGCATGCCACTGGGAAGAGAAGCATAGATTGGATTTGGGAAGAATGGGCCCATATGCCCCTTACTCACGGGTTCTTCTATTGACAGATTCTCATGCAGTTTTGGCTCTCCTACACCGCAAGGGCACAAAAACAAAGTATTACTATTATTTTGGCAGTTGGTGGGCCTCTATTTTCATCTTTTTCATATATCTTCCTGGAAATGTTTTTATCATTTTCTTCTGTGTCTTCATGTGTCAAGATTCTGCACCCAACATGGTCAGATATGCTCGAAGATTATATCTCACCCTGCCCTGGTCCTGGACCTGGAGTTGTGCCATGATCCCATTGGCTTCTGCAGAATGGCTTCTGCACAAATAAAGATCAGTTCTAGTTAAGCTGGGAGTAGTTTTGGAGCTTCTGAGTGGCAGGGTCTCAAACGTATACTAAGTACTTGTTTGAACAGAATTCTTAAAAGGTCTTCACGCTAGATGTGTCAAACACAATTTTTTTGAAAATGTGTTTTCTGGTTTATAGTTATTTCATATAAATTTATGATTTAACACATCTGTAAAAGTTCAAGTCAAACAACATTTTTACTCAAGCTGCAGGTAGGCCAAAGATGTTCTAATCAAATATACAACCGTTTCTCTTTAAATAATTCCTTCACAATTGCACTTATTTAAGAATGTTGA